CAAGCGCGGAGCCTCAGTTATGGCTCTTCTCTTCTTGGTGCACTGTGAACTGGCCTGGCTTGTCAAAGTGGTGCACTGCTTCAAGAATTAATCAGCCGTCATGGCAAACAAATGGCCGTCCTGCTCTTGCGTTGGCAGCTTTGCCAGATCGTATGTTCTCGAGTGAATCGCCCCAGGCTTTATGTGCTCGAGTCTGACAAGGAGCTGACAAGCGCATAGCTTTTCTCGCTAGTCGATGACCGCGTGAGAGGACTCGGGTGGCAGCTGCTACTGGGTCTGGAGGAAATGGGGTCGCATAGGTCGCGGAAGAGCCTAGCTGCCAAGTGCAATTCGAAGCATCTTCTGCGCAGGTGTTAGCCAGGGTGGCACGAAGCTTGAGGAGCTTCTGCCCCGGCGATTCGTTCAGTTCTCTAAGGGTTTTGTCGGTTTGTGCTTTTGGAGGTTCCACTCCGACCAAGCAGCAGCCATCCGGCAGTTCAGCAAGCTCTATCTCGCGCGGTGCTTGGCAATGCTCCATTCAGCACAAAAGTGTGAGCTGATGTGTTTTCCGCAGCGCAGTTCTGCTTCGGGTGCAGTGCTCACAGGACAAAACTGGAAACACTTACGGCCACAAGCCCTCTGAGTTTGTGTCGCCTGGCTGTGCAATCTCCTAGCAGCTCCCGCATGTCGTGTCAGCCGCGTGATGTAGAGAATGAGTTGACCAAGGCAGAAGCCGGGAAAGTTTAGTCGCGTCGATGTGGCACACAAGGCCGAGCCTTTTGTCGGTCCGGTTCTGCTTTTCCCACCCAAAGCTTTTTGGGCCCAGCTCCTCACCAGGCATTGCAGAAGAAGAAGGCGAAGACGGAGGAAGAGGACTCGCGAAGATGCGATGCTTTCGCAGTTGAGATGCATGACGAGATGTGACGAGGAGCCCGAGCCGTCGCAAGACGATGTTCAGGATGGGACTGCTTTTGCCAAGTGCCACCTTTGTTGCAATTCCCAGTTCATACCTGACCAAGAGCGCAGGACGGCCAGCCTCTGGGTCAGCTGTCCAAGGCCTCGGTCTTAGAGCCCCGCATTTCCCAACGCAGACTCGGAAACACCTCTCTCCGCTTCGCCAGGCAGCTGTCGAGAAGGGAAACGCTGTCCTTGCCGCGAGCTGTGAGTCTGTGAGAAGAGTCTGTGATAATTCGTGTGACTACAACGTCAGCTTTTCTTGGCGGACATGTCTAAGCCTACCCTGTGGCCCGAGGACAAACTCGAGTCCATTCTGTCCGAGGTTGCGGAAGGTTCCCCGATTGTTTTGCCTTTCTCCGCCCTCACCCCACGGTCGTGTCAGCATGTTCTTGTGAGATAGGTTCGCCCTTTGTTGCCGGTTCCATCTTTCATGCTAGACTTGGGGAGTGTCGCATGTTGCAATATCTGGTCACAAAGTGGCCTCGACACGCCATTAAATCTCGTGTATGTGGATGCAGCGAAAACATAAATACAGGCAGGTCGTGAGCGGCCTCTATATGCCCAAACCCTGGCAACACCCGTGTAAACAGCAAAGCTCGGAACAGCCATGTCAGCCTCGGCACGATCTGCGCATGCAGCTTTAAGACCACTTGTGAGAAAGGATACTGGTAAGACTCGAGATTCATCTTTCCCATCCTGTGACAGACAGGGTGGATGCTTGGTCGCTGAATCAGCTGTGAGACAACATGAGAGGAGGAACCGGGTTGGCAAAGCCAGTCGCGAACAGCTCTTGCAAACGACGTGAAGCTGAAGCAACCAGTCGCTTCATTGGGGGACGTCCTGACTAATATTTTGAGAATGGAACACTGCGACTGAATGCATCTCAGACCTTGCACCGTCGTGCCGAGCCCTTATCTGCGCACCAAAGAATCTAAGAAAGCTCTTCCAAATTTTGTGCTGAGCCGAGGGTTTAGTGTCAGGAGCCCCTCTGGGCCCGGTCCAGAAGGGAAAGGTCAAGGCTCATTCCGCGGAGCAGCGGGCTCAGAGATCTCAGGGAGTCTTCCGCCTGGATGCGACCATTTATCTCGTGTGAGCCCCGTGGTAGGTTCTATGCCCTCATTCCGCACAACTTCGGCATCAAAGCACCTCCGCCAATCGACACGCAGGAGCCTAGAATTGATTCTCTGCTTCTGATGCTCCGTCATCGTCGGCTACCTTGACCTGCTAGGACCTTCTGGGAGCTGAACGTGCACTCCTTCAGTTCTACTTGCGTCTTTCACTTAACCCTGCAGCATAGGCGTACGTCGCGAAGTGTGACCGTCGGACGCACGAAAGTGCCCCGCAAGGCATGGGCTTCGAGGAGATCGGCGGAGGAGAAGACGAGGCTTTCTGCTGCACTTAATGATGGCTTTCCATGCAACAAGGTTGCATGTCATTCAGGAGAAACTTACACCGATCTCCGGAGTCATGCAACTCGAGCTGCCGGGCACGCTCCAAGAGGGTTGCAAGGGCATTTGTGACAAGAAGGCAAGCGACCAGAGTTACCGGTAGCCACGCTACGCAGCTGCGATGTGTGCAGAGCATGGGAGGCGGTGCAGAGCTGCACCACGAAAGGCAAGGTTCTGGAGGCCGGACCTCCGGCAAGTGAGAGTATAAGCACGGTAGCCGCAGGCTTCGTTAAGGCAGTTCAGACACGGCCTTTGCTTTTGCCCCGGCCATCCCCCTCTTCGGTGGCTCGCCTTGGCACAGAAGAAGAAAGCGGGCAAGCCGCTGAAGCCAATGGACCATGAACTGTATGGAGCCATTCTGCCTGCGACCCAGTCAGTGTACAGCGTACGGTTTCCGGTCAACGGCCGATCTACTGGCATACTCGGGCACGGGATGGAACGGTGACATGGACGGCGACTTCTGATGTCAGCGGCAGTGAGAAGCATGTCTGAGTCTGAGGATGTACACCGGCAATGCCATTTACCAGGCTCTAAACAAGGCGCGTTGTGTAAAACTCTGCGGACTACAGGACACCATACCATAGAGTACGGGGACCGTCCGCAGAAAGACCAAGAAAGAGTGCAAAATTCTTCTACAGGCCCTGCGCGACGAAGATCGAGACAAGGCCAGGGCGGGAGACATCCCAGACCGTAAACTCCATAAACTCTCTTCCAGGTCGGCTCCTACTTCCCGTACCTGCGCATGCTTTTCGAGGCCTGTGGCAGGCACGGTCCGGCGTCCCGGGCATCCCAGGAGGCTTTCTATGGAAGCTGAGTTGAGACGTTGAGACTCCGAGAGGCTCCCGGTTCGAAAAGTCACCCTGTGGCGCGGAGTTGGAGTTGACCTCCACGACCAGTATAAGGCTCGAAGCCTTCGCTCTTGCGATCCTGAGTGCAAGCCGTCTATTCCGATTGCTTTGAGTGCCAGGAAGGCAGCACCATCACATGGTGGGGTGTTTCAAGCTGCACCTCTGACGAGAAGGCACACTGGCATGTAGGAATCCACTTCCAAAGAATGTCGGACAACGACTGCTGCAACATGTTCAGCATTCAGGAATCCCCTTCGTTGTATCAGTCTTGTGCAAGCGAAGCTTGCATCCTTGCGGAGCAAGGTCGCAAAGAACTTTGCCAGCGGCTGCGCAGGACCGTTAACCTCTCAGATTCGACAGCTTTTCCTCGCGACTACCTGCAGATGCCTGCAGGCATGTAATGGTATGTAGCTAGAGACGAGATGAGACTTTCCGAGAAGTTTAAACGAGGAAGTGTCACTTTGCGCATCCTGCAAAGGTCAACGCTCCTAACCGTTGAGACGCAGACGGCTTGTGAAATTTCCGAGGCTGGCCTTGTCCAGTTCTATACGTAATTACGGCATACTACCGTGCGTGCCCAGTTGAGCTTCTACTCCAACGAAGCCGAGAGCATCTTGCTTCCCGGCACCCAGCTAAAGGCCGCCGCTTCGAGTCGAAACAGTGTCCGCATGTGTCCGCGCCTTGACAGGTCCTCGAAAACTACAAGAAGGGGAAGACCGCCGGGAACTTGGCGCGCCATTGGAATGCCGCTGAAGTGCCAGCCGGCGGGCAGAGGCCTTCATCCGCCTCCGAGAGGTTGGCCGGCAGGTCGGATGAGGCTGGACGAGCATACGACGAATAGAAAAGAATAGAAGTCCCTTCCATCACTTCCGTTAGCTCAGTCCAGGAGAGCTCTCAGATCTCCGCGCGATCGCCGAAACGACCTCGCGCTTTGTTTTATTGTCCCAGTGCTTCTTCGCTGATGCCTGGATGTGCGACCTGGCAGTGATTGCCGGCCCACATTTTCGTTTATGTTGGAGAGCATCTACGTGCCATTGCTGATACGCAAGTGTAGCAGGGCATGGTGCTTGTAGAAGCTCAGGCCATGCATCGGATGTGTTTCAGAATGTCACACTTGCTCCCCATGCGTAGGTCTACCTAATGTGCCAGCCTGTGGGAAGCTGCGGGCGTCAAGTTTTTGTAAGGCCTAGTGTAGGGATGAACTAGTGGCATCTGGTCACTTGGATCTGGATCAATAGACTCATGCCTTGAAAAAAGACGATGCTGGTGTTCATCCCTTCTGGAACTGCTGTTGCTTCTGTGGTTCCCCCCTGTCTTCTTGAGATCATATGGATAGGTGAGGGGCGTATCGAAGTGACGCCAAAACGGTGTGCAACTGAACGCCGCGAGCTGCAATTTCCGTCGTGCTACATAGTTGAGAGTTTCCGAAAAGTAGGGGTACCTTATTTTGGGGTCCTTATGATAAGAATCCCACTATTTAGGATACTACATTAGGGTCCCCCATTTTCGGAAACTCCCATGGCTCAGTGCAAGTGTCTTGCGCGCCTCGCCAACGTTGGCTCTTTGCCTCAGTGAGGCAAGCCCCCAGAGCCACCGACTTGCATGACGTTCAGCACTGGTCGTAGTCGTCCAGATTCTGCAACCAAGGAGCCAGGCATTCAGGAATGGATACTGCTGATGGTTAAGAGCCGGAGAAGTTGATTTGCGTTGACACGGCTGGACGGGCATTGCTTACATCACCTGAGCCTTGTGAATTCATTGATGCTCCATGGCGCCCTCGCAGGACGGCGTCATTCATCCTCCAACTCTAAAACACAGATGGCTGCCGCACCAAGCTCTTGCCTGTCCATCCCATAGCATGGACGTATGACCCTCGCAACAGTTGTCTTAAGCAGTAGTGCAAGTGATGTTGGCTGCGTACAAGTACAATGGTCGTGCCCTTGGATTCTTGTTTTATGACAGATGCAATGTTGCGCGGTGTTTGAGTTGTACAATGAGTTGCCCTTGTTGTCCAGTGTCCTGGGCCTTCTCTGTGCGGGATGCTAAGGCCCAACAACTCCCTAGTCAGGCTAGGGTGTTTCCCCCACTGTACTGCCATCGGCACCGCGGGGGCTGCCACATATGCAGTCCTTTTCAACACCATTGCTAGCAGTATACATGTTATGGCATCTTCATATCGGCTGAAGCCGTCTTCCTTGGTCTGTGAGAACGTGCGGGGCAAAATTCTGCGGCTGGCCTTCGTCTTCAGGAGGACTTCGATTCTCTAAAGGATGAGAAGGAGAAGCTGGAGGACGGGGTTAGGGACGGTTTAGGGGAGCCAGGTGTAGCACGGAAACCGTCGTGCCTTGCTGCGAGCAGCTTTTCGTGGGATCTCCGTTTCATTTTAAGTCGTCTGCAAAAAAGTCACGATTTCTTGTGGCTCGGGTGGGGCATTTGCTCCGGCGGTGGCAGGATCTCTGTCGCAGATTGCGAGTGTATCTATCGGGTGTAGACTCGGTGTAGACTATAGACTGGACTACAGAGACAAGACGAGTCGCGCTTCCCGCTGAGCCGTCCATGCAGCAAAGCATCGCGGAAACATGAGTCAGTAAGAGAACGACATCTGTCGCTGTGATGACACGGAGCATCCATGGCCTTCACAGAACTGAGAAAGCACAAGGCGATGTATCAAGACTCTGTGGAAACTGTCGAGTCTGTCTCGTTTCGTTTCTGGCTCGTGCTGCAAGGCCGCACTGAAGCAGGAGCAGGAGAAGCGCCTCGCAGAGCAGCAGAGGCTCAAGGCGTCGGCCGCCGCCTGCAAGCCCCTTTCGAGGGGCCGGCACTTTCGCTTTCTGCTTTCACGGCGGATCCAGGAGAGGACGCGGGAGACGTTCCAAAAGCTGAAAGATGATTGCAATGCGAAGGCCGCAGCTTGTCCAATCACGGGTCTTCGCGACTTGGGCGACAAAAGCTCTTTGCTACCCTTGAAATGCTGCAGGTGCTCGCGCTCAACCAAGAGCTCGAGAAAGCCAAGGCTTTCCTACAAACATTTTCATCCAAGGTTTCTGGTCTGCCAGAGTCGTTGCAATCGACTCCTAACCCTAAACCCTCCGTGTTTCCCCACATTCGACGTCGAGCAGGAAGTGTTGGCGAAGTAAAGTTGCAGAAAGGCCCCATCATACTGTAATTATGACTTGTAAGAAGGAACCCTCAAAATAGTATAAGAAATATTACGGCCCCCTAGGTCTTGAGTCGGAGTCGCTGCACAGGCCGACTCCAACGGCTCGCCAGATGTGAGCGCCCTTCAGACAGCAGCTCGGCTGCAGAAGGATCGACGCGCCTGGGAGGAGATGGCGAGTTCAGGAGTCGGGTCACCAACATTTTTGAAGTCATCAATAGTCGAAACTGTGCTTCCTCTCCCTGTAAGGAGCTGGACGCGGCTAAAGCTCAGGTGGCAGAGGCTTCGACTGCATCACGCCTTCATGCTCCCCGAGCCTTTCGAGACTCGCGAAGCTTCATGCTCTACTGCAGGAGTCCAACTCTGTGCTGTAAACATGGCAGGTTGCTGACTTGCGCGCAGAGCTTTCCAACTTGAAGGACGTCCATGCAGGGCTTAGGGCTCCATCCTAGGGTAGTTGACGCACTTCACTGAATCTTTGACTGCTTTGCAGAGGCGGCGGCAGCTCAAGCCCAAGCTGCCTCCGAGCAACTTCAGCTAGAAATTGAGGGGCTGAAGACAGAAGCGGCGGAGGCACAAATGAGCGTGATGCTTGGGGCATCTTGGGGCACTGCTTAACCCTGCCAGGTGCCGACACTGAAAGCTGAGCTTACGCACATGGAGGCATGAACGTCTTAGACAAGGGCCTTTTTATGTTGCTTCTGCAAGAAAGCTCATGTTGCAGGCACAGCGGACAGCTGCCCTCCAAGATGCCGCCGGGGCATCCGCAGAGCTGCAGCAGCAAGTGGAGAACCTGAAAGCTGAAGCCGCGCAGGCAGCCAAGAGGGTTCGGCGTAAGTAATTAGTCATGTAGGAGGAATGAGATGGGGCAAACAGCGATGAAGATGACATCTCGAAGCATTAATTCTCGAATGCTCTGGTAGGTGCCGGAGTTGCGCAGCAAAGTGGCCGAGTTTGAGGCTTGTGCCGTCGTTGCTGCACGTCATGCTGCATCACAGCTGACACAGCATGAGCGCAGCTGTCTCTCTCTCTGGTTGAGACGTGAAGGCCGGGCAGGAGTCTGCCAGCCGCGAAGTCGAAAGACTCACGGCGGAAGCAGCGGAGGTGCCCCTTGCAGTGTCATCAGGAATGATGTGTGACCGCACCACGGACCCATCTGAAGCTATGCAACAGTGTGTCAAGCTCAGCGCGCGTGGGTTTGAGGCGTCAGCGCTGAAGGCACAGATCGCGGAAATGGAGGCCCGCAGCTACCTGGTTGTCATGCGAAGTCGCTCTCGTGTTTCACTATTCTTGCTCCCTCGGCTTGAGAAGGATTTACGGGGTAATGATGCACCAACGCAACCTGTTAGCTCGAACCAGGTGCAGCGCGCGGCTGCAATCCAGGACGCTGCGGGCGCGTCTGCAGAGGTTGAGCAGGAGATTGAGAAGCTAAAAGCGGAAGTTGCGCAGGCAGGAGGGGAGTCATGGAATCCTAGGTCCTAGGCGAAGCAGCAGAAGTTAGCATCAGCAGCCAGGTGCCAGAGTTGCGGAGCAAGCTCGCAGAGCTGGAGGCTGCAAGATCCAGCTAAACTGCAAACGTGGAAGCTGGCACGAGCGAAAGGGTTCGTTTCGACTGCTGACGAGTTCGATGGATGTCGATGGTGTCCGATCACAGGCGAAGGAAGAGGCCTCCCTGCAAGTGCAAGCATCCGCCGAGCAGCTGCAGCACGAAGTCGAGAGACTGAAGGCGGAAGTGGCAGAGGCGGGCTGCGATCGTGTTGCACAGAACAGGCTTCTAGTGTTCCTGGATGTTCTTGGAGTTGATGTGCTGGAAGGTGGCAGGATTGCGAGCACAGATCGCAGACATGGAGGCGCGACTTTCCGCACTGAGACTTCGTGCATCGCATCAACGCGAGCAAGAAGCTCACAAGAGTTACACGAGGCACAGCGGACAGCTGCCCTCCAAGATGCCGCCGGGGCATCCGCAGAGCTGCAGCAGCAAGTGGAGAACCTGAAAGCTGAAGCCGCGCAGGCAGCCAAGAGGGTTCGGCGTAAGTAATTAGTCATGCAGGAGGAATGAGATGGGGCAAACAGCGACGAAGATGACATCTCGAAGCATTAATTCTCGAATGCTCTGGTAGGTGCCGGAGTTGCGCAGCAAACTGGCCGAGTTTGAGGCTTGCGCCGTCGTTGCTGCACGTCACGCTGCATCACAGCTGACACAGCATGAGCGCAGCTGTCTCTCTCTATCTCTGGTTGAGACGTGAAGGCCGGGCAGGAGTCTGCCAGCCGCGAAGTCGAAAGACTCACGGCGGAAGCAGCGGAGGTGCCCCTTGCAGTGTCATCAGGAATGATGTGTGACCGCACCACGGACCCATCTGAAGCTATGCAGCAGTGTGTCAAGCTCAGCGCGCGTGGGTTTGAGGCGTCAGCGCTGAAGGCACAGATCGCGGAAATGGAGGCCCGCAGCTACCTGGTTGTCATGCGAAGTCGCTCTCGTGTTTCACCATTCTTGCTCCCTCGGCTTGAGAAGGATTTACGGGGTAATGATGCACCAACGCAACCTGTTAGCTCGAACCAGGTGCAGCGCGCGGCTGCAATCCAGGACGCTGCGGGCGCGTCTGCAGAGGTTGAGCAGGAGATTGAGAAGCTAAAAGCGGAAGTTGCGCAGGCAGGAGGGGAGTCATGGAATCCTAGGTCCTAGGCGAAGCAGCAGAAGTTAGCATCAGCAGCCAGGTGCCAGAGTTGCGGAGCAAGCTCGCAGAGCTGGAGGCTGCAAGATCCAGCTAAACTGCAAACGTGCAAGCTGGCACGAGCGAAAGGGTTCGTTTCGACTGCTGACGAGTTCGATGGATGTCGATGGTGTCCGATCACAGGCGAAGGAAGAGGCCTCCCTGCAAGTGCAAGCATCCGCCGAGCAGCTGCAGCACGAAGTCGAGAGACTGAAGGCGGAAGTGGCAGAGGCGGGCTGCGATCGTGTTGCACAGAACAGGCTTCTAGTGTTCCTGGATGTTCTTGGAGTTGATGTGCTGGAAGGTGGCAGGATTGCGAGCACAGATCGCAGACATGGAGGCGCGACTTTCCGCACTGAGACTTCGTGCATCGCATCAACGCGAGCAAGAAGCTCACAAGAGTTACACGAGGCACAGCGGACAGCTGCCCTCCAAGATGCCGCCGGGGCATCCGCAGAGCTGCAGCAGCAAGTGGAGAACCTGAAAGCTGAAGCCGCGCAGGCAGCCAAGAGGGTTCGGCGTAAGTAATTAGTCATGCAGGAGGAATGAGATGGGGCAAACAGCGACGAAGATGACATCTCGAAGCATTAATTCTCGAATGCTCTGGTAGGTGCCGGAGTTGCGCAGCAAACTGGCCGAGTTTGAGGCTTGCGCCGTCGTTGCTGCACGTCACGCTGCATCACAGCTGACACAGCATGAGCGCAGCTGTCTCTCTCTCTGGTTGAGACGTGAAGGCCGGGCAGGAGTCTGCCAGCCGCGAAGTCGAAAGACTCACGGCGGAAGCAGCGGAGGTGCCCCTTGCAGTGTCATCAGGAATGATGTGTGACCGCACCACGGACCCATCTGAAGCTATGCAGCAGTATGTCAAGCTCAGCGCGCGTGGGTTTGAGGCGTCAGCGCTGAAAGCACAGATCGCGGAAATGGAGGCCCGCAGCTACCTGGTTGTGATGCGAAGTCGCTCTCTAATGATGCGCCAGTGCAACCTGTTAGTTCGAACCAGGTGCAGCGTGCGGCTGCAATCCAGGACGCTGCGGGCGCGTCTGCAGAGGTTGAGCAGGAGATTGAGAAGCTAAAAGCGGAAGTTGCGCAGGCAGGAGGGGAGTCATGGAATCCTAGGTCCTAGGCGAAGCAGCAGATGTTAGCATCAGCAGCCAGGTGCCAGAGTTGCGGAGCAAGCTCGCAGAGCTGGAGGCTGCAAGATCCAGCTAAACTGCAAACGTGGAAGCTGGCACGAGCGAAAGGGTTCGTTTCGACTGCTGACGAGTTCGATGGATGTCGATGGTGTCCGATCACAGGCGAAGGAAGAGGCCTCCCTGCAAGTGCAAGCATCCGCCGAGCAGCTGCAGCACGAAGTCGAGAGACTGAAGGCGGAAGTGGCAGAGGCGGGCTGCGATCGTGTTGCACAGAACAGGCTTCTAGTGTTCCTGGATGTTCTTGGAGTTGATGTGCTGGAAGGTGGCAGGATTGCGAGCACAGATCGCAGACATGGAGGCGCGACTTTCCGCACTGAGACTTCGTGCATCGCATCAACGCGAGCAAGAAGCTCACAAGAGTTACACGAGGCACAGCGGACAGCTGCCCTCCAAGATGCCGCCGGGGCATCCGCAGAGCTGCAGCAGCAAGTGGAGAACCTGAAAGCTGAAGCCGCGCAGGCAGCCAAGAGGGTTCGGCGTAAGTAATTAGTCATGAAGGAAGAATGAGATGGGGCAAACAGCGACGAAGATGACATCTCGAAGCATTAATTCTCGAATGCTCTGGTAGGTGCCGGAGTTGCGCAGCAAACTGGCCGAGTTTGAGGCTTGCGCCGTCGTTGCTGCACGTCACGCTGCATCACAGCTGACACAGCATGAGCGCAGCTGTCTCTCTCCCTCTGGTTGAGACGTGAAGGCCGGGCAGGAGTCTGCCAGCCGCGAAGTCGAAAGACTCACGGCGGAAGCAGCGGAGGTGCCCCTTGCCATGTCATCATGAATGATGTGTGACCGCACCACGGACCCATCTGAAGCTATGCAGCAGTGTGTCAAGCTCAGCGCGCGTGGGTTTGAGGCATCAGCGCTGAAGGCACAGATCGCGGAAATGGAGGCCCGCAGCTACCTGGTTGTCAGGCGAAGTCGCTCTCGTGTTTCACTATTCTTGCTCCCTCGGCTTGAGAAGGATTTACGGGGGAGTGATGCACCAGTGCAACCTGTTAGTTCGAACCAGGTGCAGCGCGCGGCTGCAATCCAGGACGCTGCTGGCGCGTCTGCAGAGGTTGAGCAGGAGATTGAGAAGCTAAAAGCGGAAGTTGCGCAGGCAGGAGGGGAGTCATGGAATCCTAGGTCCTAGGCGAAGCAGCAGATGTTAGCATCAGCAGCCAGGTGCCAGAGTTGCGGAGCAAGCTCGCAGAGCTGGAGGCTGCAAGATCCAGCTAAACTGCAAACGTGCAAGCTGGCACGAGCGAAAGGGTTCGTTTCGACTGCTGACGAGTTCGATGGATGTCGATGGTGTCCGATCACAGGCGAAGGAAGAGGCCTCCCTGCAAGTGCAAGCATCCGCCGAGCAGCTGCAGCACGAAGTCGAGAGACTGAAGGCGGAAGTGGCAGAGGCGGGCTGCGATCGTGTTGCACAGAACAGGCTTCTAGTGTTCCTGGATGTTCTTGGAGTTGATGTGCTGGAAGGTGGCAGGATTGCGAGCACAGATCGCAGACATGGAGGCGCGACTTTCCGCACTGAGACTTCGTGCATCGCATCAACGCGAGCAAGGAGCTCACAAGAGTTACACGAGGCACAGCGGACAGCTGCCCTCCAAGATGCCGCCGGGGCATCCGCAGAGCTGCAGCAGCAAGTGGAGAACCTGAAAGCTGAAGCCGCGCAGGCAGCCAAGAGGGTTCGGCGTAAGTAATTAGTCATGCAGGAGGAATGAGATGGGGCAAACAGCGACGAAGATGACATCTCGAAGCATTAATTCTCGAATGCTCTGGTAGGTGCCGGAGTTGCGCAGCAAACTGGCCGAGTTTGAGGCTTGCGCCGTCGTTGTTGCACGTCATGCTGCATCACAGCTGACACAGCATGAGCGCAGCTGTCTCTCTCTCTCTCTCTGGTTGAGACGTGAAGGCCGGGCAGGAGTCTGCCAGCCGCGAAGTCGAAAGACTCACGGCGGAAGCAGCGGAGGTCCGTACCGTGAAGTTAATGTGGGTGCGACAACGTCTCGGTAACTGTATGTAATTGTCCGTTCAGTTGAGTGACTTCAGGTGCCAGCATTGAAGTCCCGAATGGCTGACATGGAGGTGTGGCCGACCTCCCAAGTTGAGCTTCATCCGGGCCTGCGGCGTTAATCGCATTGGTGCAGGTTGCAGCGGAAGAGGCCCAGAAGGAGATGCAGAGCCTTCGCCCGGAAGCTGCCCAGGTCTGCTCGGAGAAGGGCCGCCGCTTCCATTTTTCGCTGTTTGAGCTTTGCGAGGTGCCGATGCTGAGGGCGCAAGTCATCGACTTACAGGCAGGTCACAGCTCCCAGCAAAAGCTAAGCGAAGCTCTGCCCTTGACCCAGTGGCCGGAGGCCGCTGCAACACAGCAGCAGCAGGAAATGGTGCAGCTGACCGAGAAGGCCTTCTGAGCAAGTTAGGAAGTTAGTTTGGATGTGATCTGCTGAGAAGGTTACGCTGCAGTTGCAACAGTTCATGGGCCTTCAGCAAGACGCACGAGCATGCAAGAACTTTGCTTGAAAGCCTGGCAGGCTGAGGCGCAACGAGCCAGCATCGCGGAGATGGAGGCTCAGAGCCTTTGGAGGCCGTGCCCCTCTGCTGCTCCACACGATGCAGGTTCGCGCGCGGCAGCGTGACGAGGTCTGCGATCAGATTTTGGTCAAGTTTCCGGATGCGGCGATGGAACCCCGCGGGTGGGCTGGTTCCTACTTTCACCTGCCAGGAGCTGGCCCACAGCCAGGCTGAGGCGGCCGTTTGCCTTTGGCCTCGCGAGGAGAGAGGGGATGGGCTGATGATGGCTGATGGGTGCAGGTGGCAGCACTCAAGAGCCAAGTTGCCGAGCGAGAGGCGGGTTCAGGGTCGCAGGTTTGGGTAGACCCAAATGGTGCCAATCTGACATCAGCATTTGTCACCTTCATGCGCACATGCTGACCTTCATGAGGCAGCTCTCGAAGCTACGAACCAGAGCAGCGCTCAGGCGATGTGCCCGTGCTGTCCACGAGCTTCGTTGAGTTTGCATTGGGTCAGGGGTTGCTTGGTTCAGAACACTGACTTCGCTGAAACCTGGGGCAGGCCGTCAAAAGGCAGAAAGAGGTGCGGACGCTCTCAGCTGTGGTGGGGAGCTCCCCTCCTTGCCTGGAAGGCCGAGCGCCTGAGATCTGCGGAGGCCGCCGCCTGGCAGCAGGCCCATGAAGCATCTTCAGCCTTGCTGCTGGGGTTGTCCTTCGAAAACCTGAGAGCAGCCTCAGCCCGGCTGGCATGGACCAGGCCCGTGGCTAGCCGGGCAACGGATGCACTGTAGGGGTCTTTGCAATCAGCCCCGAGCGGGCAGTGGCCATGCCAGAGATTGCCGCAGTTTGCCTCCCGAGCTCCCTCGTGTGAACAGTGATAGGATCGCAGCTAGAGCTTCACAGCATGCTGTCCTCCAACGCCCGATCGCCTTTCCGCGCGCCCGCTCCGGCTGCTCAAGAGCATAAGTCTCAAGAGGAGTTGGAAACACTTCCTGGATCTCTCGTGCTTGGGTTTAGCACAGAGAAGACGGAGGACGCGCTGATTGGTGAGAACCAGCAGTTGAGAGCACAGCTGGCATGCGTACAAGAGCAACTAGCAGCGATGCGATCACGGCCACATGTGAGCGAGGATGACGAGGGAGTGGGAAACTCCACGCAAGCTCTACTAGAGGACGTGCGCACAGAGATGGGAGCTCAACGAGCCCTTGAGATGAGGATGCTTGCAAAGGCCCAATGCACGCAGAGCAGAGCCTTAACGCTCATGGAAACCACGCAGAAGACACTGATGGAAGCCTTGAAGTTTCGCTTCGATCAAGAAGACATTCCGTCGAAGCTTTCTGTGGCAGAGGTTGCTCGGCCTCTTGTGAAGCCAGGAGCGGTGCCTCGGAGAGGACAGGCGCCGCCTCCCACGATGAAGAGAAAGCGTGCCTCAGAGTGCAATCCTGGGCACAGAAGGCTCCCGCACCGTTGCCACCTCCATCATCGGCCACACCAGAGGTGGATGAGGCTGGAACTCTGGTTCCCAGGAGCCTGAGCTTCATGAAGTGGTCTCGCGCAGACGGAGAGGGCAATGAGGAGGAGCCTCCGAACTCGGATGAGGCTGCTCCCACGCCACTGGGGCGGCTAGGCTCGATCACCTCCGTTCAGAAGGGCTCACCAATACACCATCTCTGCAGCCTCATCTACTGCCGCTTCGCAGATTTGAAGCCGAGTGTGTGGAAGGAGCAGTACGAAGACTACGCCTCCAACTGTACACAATAGGACACGTACCAAGTGCTGTATGCTGTAACCGTGGGCCAAGGCGGTCCGTGCATAGCCCAGAGTGCGTTCTGAGACACGGCAAAAGCGAGTGACCCCCACCTTGATGATGCTATGGGTTCCGTCCTCACTGCATCCGTGCAACACGTGCACGCATGCACTCCACCCCTGGCTCAAGTGGCACAGCAGTTTGTTCGCGAAGATCGCCGATCCATAAGGAGTCACCGGCCGTGTGGCGCGGACCGGTGATCGGCAGACAGTTTACTCTTGGTGTACTGTAACCTAGCCCCTTAAATCTGAAACCCGAGCTCCCCGAATCTGCTGTATCTCAGGTTTGTTGCAGTGCCACGTCCACCAGTTGATCAAGCCGCACCCCATACTCTATAAGAGGGAGATGACCAGGGGCAGCAACTACACGCAGGTCCTCAATAATCTTCGCCAGCTTTTGATGAAGCTGCAGCTGCCGGTGACTCCTTATGGATCGGCGATCTTCGCGAACAAACTGCTGTGCCACTTGAGCCAGGGGTGGAGTGCATGCGTGCACGTGTTGCGCGGATGCAGTGAGGACGGAACCCATAGCATCATCAAGGTGGGGGTCACTCGCTTTTGCCGTGTCTCAGAACGCACTCTGGGCTATGCACGGACCGCCTTGGCCCACGGTTACAGCATACAGCACTTGGTACGTGTCCTATTGTGTACAGAGGACTGGTTGGCCAGGCGCATCGAGGAGCGAGTACACGTCTTGCTTACCGATCTTCGCCCTGAATATAGAGGCTTCGCTAACGAATGGTACTCTTCTTATCAGGCGCTCGATGACATCCACTCCTTGCTCGATGAGTGTCAATGCATGACACTTGAGCAATGGCAGGAGGAGGACCGCTGTGGCGAATGCATCACCAAAGCCTTGCAGTGATGCTCGACCGCTCCAGATCCGGAAAAGCGATTGGCAATGCATCGGTGAGTGTGTGAGCTGTGGTCGTGCATGTGTGAGAGCAGGCGCCGGCCTCGTCGGTCCGAGTCGGGCCGTCGCCCATCCCGCATATCTCGTCTCGTCTCGTGCGAGGCCGAAAAGGCGCTTGAAGGAGTCAAGGCTCCCGTTCTCGGCTCTTCACTGGAAGCAGTGGGACCCCTCCCTGCACAGGCGGAGAAGGAGAGCTTGCAAAGGCAAGTTGCCTGGCACACAGAGGGCGTAAGCGGGTTGTCCCTGCTGTGCCAGACTGTGCCAGAATAGTGCAAGAGTGGTGGCAGGATCAGTTCGTGTCGTTGCTAGCTGCTAGCATTTCCTTGAGGCTATTTCGACACATTATCTCTACTCTATAAAAGTCGATTGTTAAGGAGAAGCTGAAGACCGAAGCGGCTTCAAGACAAGCAGGTGCCGAGGCCGGCCGGGCCCACAGGCATAAGCTAACGGATCTTCTCCTGAGCCGTCAGAACCCAGTGGCTCATACTGGCACATTGAAGCCGAAGAGGGAGGAAGGAGGGAAAGCGAACAGAATCCAGATGGGAAGGCAGAGCAAAGCTCCTCCGAACAGCTCCGGTCGGAGCTCCAGTCCCTGCGCCAAGTCTGCGCCTCAAAGGGTTTTCCCTAAACCCCTGAACCCCTAAATCCTTGAACCACTCACTAAACCCCTGAAAACCGCCGAGCCCTCAGGAGCTCAGCTCCGCCAGAGAGGCTCGCGGAGCCGAGGCAGCGAACGACGGGCCCAGGGCGCACCGACGACGCGCGGAGATAGAGTAATAGTAAGGTCGCGTTTTTAAAAGTTGTTTTCGCATCGATTTAAACAATAAGTAAGATTCGTATTCGTATATTGCTTTTATACATCGATTTTGAACGAAAAGCTGTTTACCTACTGAGCTGCAAGTGCCTTTGCTGTAACGCCGTGTTCACAGGCACAGCGAGCTGCTGCTGCCGAGGCTGCCGCGAAGGCACACCACGGCGAGGCCTTGGGCACGTCTACTGTTTTACTGTCGTGCGACAGATCGGTCAGGCGAGCGCCTGCTTTAATCTTTACTTACGAGGCACAGCGCCTCGCTGCCGAACTTGCAGAGGCCGCGGACTGCAGGAAAGTTGAAGGAGCTCTTGGGATTTCTTGGGCCGTTGGGCCGTGGCAGGTTCCGAAGCTGAAGGCGCAGGTTGCCGAGTTGGAGGCATCACAACTTAAGGAGCCTGAGCTTTGCATTCTCCTTCGGTGTCGGAGCGTCGAGAGCTTCACAGGCAGGCCTGGAGCTGGCTCGCGAGGCTGCGCTTCAGGCGCAAAGCGCGGAATAAGCAAAGCACTGTCATTGGCATCTTGGGATCTTCGTCGCCTCGGGCCGTTTGGTCGTTGTGGCTGGTGGCTGCAGGCTGATGCAGAAGCAGCCAAGTCAAAGTCACGGCCGCAGGCATCAGGGGAGGAGCATCGTACTGGCGAATGGGGAAGACAGCAAGACATGTTGGCACCTCTTTGGAAGCCTTGGTGAGTGCGGGACGTTGCTTTGCCTTGCAGGGCTCACACCAGAGCTTCATGAGCCATGCTGCAGCACCGAGAACACGCATGCTTCACCCGGAAGAAGACAAGCTATGGAACAAGATAGAGCAAGTAGTAGCTTCAATGGCCTGCAAGCGTTGATGGATGCCCAGAGACTCTGACGCACCGCATGATGCTATAATCGGTTGGGGGGCATGTTTCCTGGGTCACTGCCATGGAGCTCCGCCCAACCGCGGTCGCGGCACCTTCCGGAGGAGGTTGTAAAGATGGGTTCCGTACTTGAAGATTTGCCAGGGTCCGTGGCTTCGCAAGCACGAGAGCTGATGTGATTGAGGGCATTCTTGGCAATCCACACTCGATTTTCTGCTTCTTTCGCAACCTGTGTGCAGCTACATCCAGCAGAGCGCCGGCTCGGCAAGCGAATCCCAAGGCCGGGTGCCGGGGGTCGCGGTAAATTAGGTTATCAGAAGGATCAGCAGGCTGTAAGAGGGGTGTGGGTTAGAGTCTACAGAGTCGGTGCTAAAGTTTGTGACCTCAGAGGCTGAAATCGAGCGAACCGAGCCCTTCGGTTGCGGCAAAGGTCGATCAACGGCAGTACCTCTAGTAACTCCGTACCTCTTTGCGAAGCGACATGCCTCGATAATGCAGAATGTGCTGAACGCGATTCTTGCATTGACATCCCGGTAAATGGGCAACTCGTGATTCACATAGTAACAGCCAGGGAACGGGTGATGTTTTTGTCTTTTGCTGTTGTGTGGCGTGCATTGAAGCAGAAGTCTCGCAGCCAAACCGGCCCCAACAGAACCAACCTCAGTGCCCCAACATCAGAAAAGCAAAAACAAGCACCCCCCGTCACAGCAACAGCAAGAACTCACCACCACCCAACAGTAGGGACGACCACAACACCCCCTCCTCCTAGCCGCAAAACAAAACAACGCCTTCACCTCAACAAAGACAACACGATCCACCCTCCTCTCTCTCCGGCTCAACTGCATGCCCCCACAGCAACAAGCAAATCCCTGCACTGACTTTTGCCGACGGTGAAATTTCGTTGTTATTGCTCCTGTGTCTGTCCTGGTCGTGCTCTGCAGCAGAAGTTCCCTCACCGCCGAAAGAGACACTTGCCGGCCGCAAACGTGGCTTTCTGCGAGGTCAAGGGGCATGCGCTCAGGAAAAGGAACAACGAAAGATCATCGTCTGAACACAGTGCCACGTCCCCGGCCTCCCACTCAAGTAGAAAGCAGCAGAGCAAATAGCCGCAGGTTCAGCCCCCAGGTTGAGAGTAGCACCGGTCAAGGTGCTCCACTCGTAGCGAGGGCCAGCTCAGCAGTTTTGCGAGTCAGCATTTCCGACGCGACCCTTGCTGCGGAGTGAGTTCACGAGCAAAGAATGGAAAAATGTAATTTGCGATCCGGAACATCAGCGCAGCGCCCGGTATGCTAGTATGCTGAAGACTTTGAGCCCCGTTTTGCGTGCGAGCTCATTCAATCTAAACGTGTGTGTTCTTTGCACTCAGGCTCTCGACGTCTGTCAATGTAGGACAGAGGGAGTCCCAAGTTTGAGCGGTGGCGCCGCAGGGGCCCGTGGCAGACATGTCACACTCGGTGAATCCGATTTCTCCGGCAGGCCTTCAAGCTACTTGCAAGGCTTCTGGATCCAGAGGTCTCCAACGAAGAGGCGGTCTCCGTGTTAGCACGACCATGAGGAAGGAGGTCTTGCTTAAGTTTGAATGGGAGGCGGTTGCACTCTTACCGAAGCTACTTCGCCGCAAAGTACTTCGGAACACGAAGGAGGCAGCGTGGTGGGAGCTGGAACTGTGCCAAGACTAGGCCTCATGAGATGCCACCAGGTCACTGTGGCCATCGGTGCTTTGTCCAAGAGGACGTTGTATCAGGAGGCTGGAGCCCTGGAGAACGGAGAGCCATCTTCGATGTTGTTACAGTCTTTGCTTTGTTTTTGAAGGCCGGCGAGTTCGCTTTGGCCGCTTGCCGCTGGAGACCGGATGACGAGCGGAGCCGAGCTCCAGAGCCCAACGTGGCCGTCTGCGGCGGCTTGGACTTGCGACAATGCAGCTAAGGGTATAGGATGGTATAGGGTTTAGGGGGTTTCGGGGCTTAGGGGTGTTTAGGGTTTAGGGTTTGGCCGGTAGAGGACATGGGGATCTGAGTCTGTCTGGGGAGGTGCGGCCCTCGCTGCGGCCCGGAGGAGTCCCGGTGGCTGGGTGCTGGCGCTGCAGCTTCTGGAGCTACTCGGTGGAAATGAGCTACAAAAGGGGCCTAAATAAGTACCAATACGGACCAATACTATTTTGGGAGTGCCTTATGATATTTATAGACTACTATTATGGACCCCCAAACCCTATTCCAATTACTACGGTAAGGCCCCTATGTTACATCTCCCCTTAAACCTGGTTGCAAGAGACTGGGGACTGCTAGGGATTCGAAGGTCTTCTGGCATATCGCATGCAGCTTTTACCCGCCATGCTCTTTCCCCTTCTTGGGTTTGTCCGGATGCTGTTGCCACATTCGAAGCAGATCCTTCCGCTACCTGTTATTGATAGTAGCTTCGTGTTCGATGCCTGCCATCAACTCTTGCCGTAGTGTCCGGTAGGTGGAATCCTGTGCAGTCGCCCTTGCGCGTAATTTCGAGATTCGCATTTTGTGAAAAACCCCAGAAACCTGAAATAGATCCAGATGATGCTGGCATCCCTGGACCGAACCGCACGAAAAAATGTACGGGGTCCAGCACGGAATAGCTACACTGAGTCTGACGTGGTTTGCTCATCAAGCGGGAGAGTGCTCAGGTGCGCGCGAGAGGCGAGTGTGCAACTAGACGAAGCTCAGCTGCAGTATAGTTTAGAAGCGAAGTACAACAGCAGCGCAGCAGAGCAAGACACAAGACATGAAACATCTCGCGTGTTTCATGATTTCATTCAGATGCATGGAGGCTTTTGCCTTTCGTGTCTTCTGTGTCTTCTGTACCTGTATCATTCCGATGCCTTGGAGGCAGCGGGTTCTGACGCAGCGTTCATGGCCCTGGCCTCCGCGCCATCTGACGATGCCTGGAGGCGGCCGGAAACTGGCTGCGCTGCACATTCTGGGATGTGCTCTCTGCTTGGGATCTTTCTGGTTTTGGGGGTTTAGGCGACTTGCGAAAGGGTCGATAAGGGTTGCTCTTGCTGTACTGCTGCGTCTATCTTGCCGGAGCTTCTCGTCAACTCTAGTTAGACATTGGTGGCCACGGATGCGACGGAGGTCAACTCCGTCGATTCTGTGCTTGAGATTTGCATGCTGAAGGGCAAGATCCATCCTGCATCTTCACCTGTGTGCAGGCTCATGGCGGACCACACCAAAAGCAGGGAGCCAGGACCCAGGATCTGTGACTGACTTGTACTGAGCAGTGCCGAACCATCGAGCTAGTTGAAATGTCAGGGTTCTAAGGCAAGCCTGACAGCAGGTGTTGTTTGTGTGCTGTGTGGAGGAATCACTGCGCTCACCTTCGCCTCAGCACAGTTTGGAAGATTGCAGCAGCACCTTGTCTTATTCAGCTCGAACAGGCAGGTTGGGAAAAGCGAGACCTGTGCTTTGTCCCTGAAGACCACCTGGGACCTGGAACATTGAGGGGCCAAAGCTCAGGTGGCAGCGTGCTGTGGACTTGATCCTCTCATCACGCTCTGCAGACACGACGGCTTTCGAGGTGCGCAGCACCACTGCAAAATGAGCCCCTTAACTTAGAGTCTCGAGACGCCGGGTCTCGGCACGTCTTCGCGAGAGTCACTTCCTAGTTGTAGTTGCATCGACCTTTAGCAGATGCAGAGCCTAACACAAGAGTCAGAGGCATGTGTTGTTTTTGTTATTGCTGACCATGTGCAGTGAGACCCCAATCAGAGCTGGCTGCTTCGCCCGACCTTACACATCTTACAGGATTCCAGCAGCCAAGACTACTAAGCCGGGCTGAAAATGCGAGGTGCTGGTCGCCGCGGCTGCGGATGCAGGAGAGTGGGCTGTGGCTCTGGCATTGACAGAGACGATGGAGGCCCACCGGGAATCTGTGCTCGAGCATGCAGCCTTAAGCTACACTCGCTTTGCGGTCCCCACGATTTGTGATTTGTGTGTGCGACCGAAGCAGTGCGAATAAGCTGTTTTGCGTTCGAGGTTCAATCCTTTCCCCTTGGACCTGTTTACCCGTCGTGTTTGCCACGTCGTCGCGCAGAGCTTCAGGGTAGCGTCACGTTCGACAATCGAATCCTGGTCTTCTGCTCCGTCCGATTAAGCTTCCGAGACTTCCGGTTGCTGAAGGTCACTGATGGTCACTGTGCAAAGGCACCTTCCAGTGCCTTTGCAATTTCAGCTGTTCGACCTGGTGACTGCGCGACTGGAACGCAGCACGCAAAGCCTGCACAGACAGGACAAGACCATGCCGCCATAGCTAGGCCGAGATGAAGGTGGCATCGCGAAGAAGCCGAATGCAAGTCACACGTCTGGAAGACCAACGAGGGAACCGACTTTCGGGCCGGAGAAGTTCGGAATCATGGAGAACTCGTAGCAAACACAGAATGGATTTTTGTGTAAGTCACCCAACATCCTGTCCTTCGAGACTCCAGGCAGGAGGCATGCAATCCGAAGTGCTACTTGTAGTCTTGCTGGGTGCAGCGACATGCTGTTCCTGCAACTCGATGCATGGAGTGATGTGTGGGTAGCAAAACCAGTGTGACCCCGACGTCTGAGACGCATGGGAGCATGAGAAGGAAGCGAACTATTGACAAATGACAGGCCTGAGCCTTAGGTTTGGCCTTGCGCCGCTTTCGGCCGCTGACGTCAGGTCCGCCTGGGCTTTGCATCCGGCGGTGCCTTGGCCACGGCGGCCGCGGCGGCCGCGGCGGCCCGAGGCCCAGACCACACCAGGAGTGGCAAG